TAAGTCAGCGGGGGAGAAGGCCTACTACCAGTTTTTCATTAAATAAAGATGGAGAAAATACATATCATATTTTAACAACCCTATTGTAGGGAAATTGTGCCAAATTATGGAATAAAGACAGAGAAATAAAATATGACGGTCTAGAACGCCAAACCGTAGCATCAGAAAGAGATATTCCCTTTGGCAATTGAAAAATGGATAAGAGGCCTTCTCCCCCACTGACTTATCCAAAACAAAAGAATTTACTTTTTATCTACATGATGAAAATACGGATAGAGAGGAATTACAAACCAAAGGCTTTTTCAACATTAGAATAAAGGAATAATGTGATCAGGTAATAATGGGTTTGTGAAGCAAGAGCTGGTGGTTATGATGGAGATTTACATCTTTTCATTGCTCAGCTTTCCCTAGAATGTTTGGATTTTGGCAGTAGTATTGTCGAGCCCCATAGTGAGGTCTTTGACTCTATTTTCACCAAATGATAGGTACTACCGAGCCCCATGATGAGGTCTCTGACTGCATTGGCATCAAAAGATACAGCCCAAATATCCCCATTGACTTACCACTTTATACTTACCCAAAGAAAAAACTTTCCTCTAGTCTCATGACATCGGAAGGGACTTTCCTTATGAGACATCGGAAGGGACTTTCCTTTCTATTATTGAAGAGAGCATTTCTTGCATAAATATGTGTTTTTATCATAAGCCCTAAGACACCACACAAAGGGCTCTCTCTCAAGCCCAAGTCTAATTATTGATTGCATGGGGCCTCATGTGCTTGCCTCTTGGGTTTTTTTTTATAACGTAATTTCTTTAGAGAGAGAAATTATGTATGTAGATAGAATAAATGAGAGAGAAAAATGAGATCCTAATTGAGATTAGCTGGTGACCGTGAGCCTCCCTCCAATTTTCCCTTTCTTTTTTGAGTTTTCATGGCTATTCGTAGAACGCACACTACACACGGGCATATATAATATAAAGGGATTGTATACAATGAGGCTATTTATAAATATATTTATAGTTCCAGATTGGAATTTGTAGATGGATGAGCCACATTATTGATCCATTCTTTTTTAAGACACTAGTTGATTTGTAAAACTTGAAGTTTTATAAATAAGTTAGATCTTATTTTATTTAAAACTTTAATAAAGTGAATAATTATTTTATTAAAATTTTCAAAAAAGATTTTCATTTTTTGTGTGCAATGCATGTACAAGTAGTTTCAACTTTCAACGAACTTTCAACTTCCAAGTATGTTACACTAGGTATTTAGGGAAAATTTACATAAAGGCTGCAAATAATTGGTCCTAAACTTTTGAAATTTTATGCCCATTTCGTAAAATTTTATATGCTTTATTTCAAAATTTTACTCGTTCGATGTTGCAAACGTCGAACCTTTTAATTTTTGGAAAAAAAAAAAATTAAAGTTGCAATATTAAAATGTAGAATTAAGGTGCACCTCAAAAATCCATCATAAACGATTGTTTTGATGTCGGAAAGCCCTCTAATTGATCATCTCGACATTGATATATATGACTATGAAAAGAAAAATGTAAAAGATTTTGAGTCCCTAAAATAGTGTATATTGCAACAAGTTATCTGCACCGTCTCTTTTTTAAGATTTTTATGTGTTTATAGATCTACTTGATTTAAATTATTTTTCGAGTTTAAAATTTTAATAACTAGAGATGAACATAGATTCTCAAGCCATCCTAAAAATTTTTGTCACAAAAAATAAATTTAATTTTTTAGTTAATTTTTTGTTTTTGTTTTGTGAATCCTCAGTTAGTTTGATGTCCAAGATATCATATCAAACTATATCTAGGTGGGTCTGATATTGGGAATATTGGATAGCCCCATATAGTTAGATTTTTTTTTTATTTTTTTATTTTCATATGGAACGGTTTGATGCCTCCAATATTAAATCTTATCTAAAATTAAAAATAAAAAAATTAAAGCAGTTCAATATCTCTAATATTGAACTGCTATCATATACCAATGGTAGCCATGGTTATGGCATACTAAATCCCGGTTTCACTGGCTACTAGCTCCTTTGTATTTATATTTTATCTATTCGTCTTTTTTATTGTGTTTGTTTTTGTTTTGTTTTGTTTTTTTTGGTGTGCCCATATAAGACTAAAAAGGGGCGAGATAGTGATTAAGGGGATAAAAAAGGAATAAGGGGTCCGATTATGGAAATGGTGAACAACTCAAACCAACATCGAACAACATTATACCAATTCATGCATAAAAAAAGATTAGTATGAGGAAGTTTGATGTTTTCTTGAGTGGTCCAATATTTTTAGCATCGAAATGCCCTATGATTTACCAATTCATGTGAAGCTTGATCTTTGGAAAACTAAGTTATTTTCACCGAGAGGTAGAATCACTTGATCAAGTCTTCCATAGTCAATATGCCTGTTTTCTTGAGGTCTCTGTTGCACATGCCTTAACCTGTGGTTAAAAAGATAAAAAAACTTATTAGAGAGTTTATATGGGGTTCTTTGGATGGAGGAAGAAAGTGTCATTTAGTGAGCTGAGAAAAAGTTTGCATCCTAAAGTCAGAGGGGGGTTTGGGTACTAAAAAAGTTAAATACGTTAATCAAGCTTCACTAGCTAAATGGTGGTGGAGAACCTTGGGAGATGAGAATCAGTTATGGAAGGAGCTTCTTGTGGCTAAATATGGTTTGGACAACAGTGGTTTTATTGGAAGAGGAAGAGGTGACAGGTTCCAATCTCAAACTTGGAAAGGTATATATATACTAATAAAAAAATAGTGTCGAGAAATATGAGATGGGTGGTTGGTGATGGAGATTTGGTTGCTTTTTGGTCGTCTAGATGGCTGGGAGATGGTTTGTTGAAGGTTATGTATCAAGATCTTTATGAGAGATGTGAGGCTCAGCGTCTTTATAATCGCAGTGATAGTGGAGGATGTTGGAACTTGCAATTTGCCTACAACATAATTTCAGACGTGCTTATCTCAAAATTTACAGAGTTGATCCAAAGACGAGAAGAGGTCTATGTGTCTGGTGAGGTGAGAGACGAAATTATTTGGGAACTTTCCAACGAAGTGTTTTTAGTAAAATCAACATATCATCTATTTTTCAATGATAGAGTGCGATGTTCTTTACATAAGCTTAACACGATATGGAAATGGAGGATTGCTCATAAAGTGCAAATGTTTGTTTGGATCTTATCTCAGAATAAGATTTTAACGGTAGATAATTTGAGAATTAGAAGTAAAGTGATTGTGAATGTCAGTATCTTTTTTTGCATTGTCCTATTGCTTTTCAGTTGTGGCAGTGGGCTTTTTAGTGTTATGGGTATTATGATGCATGTGCCAGTGTCTTATTAGGAATATTTCAACAATTGTGTTTATCCAACCTGTTGAATAAAGGAGTGATCATCTGGAATATTTTTAGGGGCTAGTTGCCATGGGAAAACTAGATGGAATGAAATCGTCACACTTTTGATGGGATTGGTTATGATATGCTGAGAATTAAGGAGAGAATAATTCATATGGTTTTCGTATTCAATTACAAAGGAAGGATACAACATTTTAAAAGTAAATGTGGTACAAAATCTAAATATTTTGATTTTGTAAAACATCTCAAGTTCTAGACCGTGTAGCATTTGGATTCCATCAAATCAAGGTTGTGTAAAATTGAATTTTAATGGAAGTTCTTTGGGGAATTCAGAACTAGCAAGAGTTGGAGGATTGATTACAAATTCAAATGGCCAGATAAGCTATACTTTCTCAAGTTCTTGTGGGAAGCTATAGCCAACAACAAGGACCTGTAACCAACAAAGTTGAAACGATGGCTCTTCTTAAGGATATGAAAATTTTAAGAGATAAATATATTGATTTAATTTGGGTGGTGGAAGGGAATTTGTTAAATATTATAAATTGGTGATTTGATTGGACAGCCACCGTGAAATTTGGGAGATTGGTGGAATGAAAATTGGGATATTTGTGGAAATCGGGAAGTTGTGTTTCAACATGCTTATCGGAAAGCTGATGATAGAGCTGACAACTTGGCAAAAGGGGGAGTTTATCTGCTGGAGATTGTATTTAGTTTTGCTTGATTTGTAATTCGTATGTTAACAGGTTTAAGTAATAAAATTTTCGTACACTTATCAAAAAATAAATGAAAATAAACCATGGCAAAACTAAAATAAGAAAAACCTACAAAAATAAATGACCTGGTTGTAAAATTTTAAAAATTTAAAACCATATAGTAATTGTACATAATTACATATTATTTTCTGACCCGTGTGTAAATTTCCTATTCAATGAGCCAAATAGGCAAGGGAACACATTTTCTCATAGAAAATGTTTGTATAAAGCGTCCACCTTATATTAAAGTCAGGCGCACCTAAAAATTTACGAAAAAACGTTTTTTCGACGTTAGAAAACTATTTGTTTGATCATCTTGACCTTTGTAATTTATGCATAAAAAAAAAAAAATCTCAAATATGAGAAATATTATATCTTATAATGTATTATTGGACCATCTATTTTTTAAGATTTTTAATATTAATACATCTACATAAGTTTTTAGCTTTCAATTTTATGGGTTTAGAGCTAAGACTCTAAACAATCAAATTAGAACCCACCTTCAAATAGTATCGAGAAATATGGTTTCAATATTGAAAATTTTTATAATAGCCTTAAAATATAATTTTATCTTTAATTATAAAATTTAAAGCTTAATAAATAGTGTAGATCAAGTATACCTATGAAAACTTGAAAATCTTGAAAATTAACGGTTAAAAAATATGTGACAAGATGCACTATTTATGAAACTTGAAATCCATTTTCTTCTCATGTCCATACATCTTGATGTCGAGATGATGAATTTGATGATATTTGGGCATCCAAGCAACCTCTTCTATTGAAATTTTTGAGGTAGAATCTAAATTGATTGTTTAGAGCCTAGGCTGCATATAAACTTTTCCCAATTTTTTTATATATAACTATACAAATAGATTTTTAAACCATTTCAGAGGTTTTCGTCATAACAAGCGCACCTTGTCTGATAAGGTTATTAGTACAGTTGGAATAGACCCACTCGCTAGATCCAAGAGGCTCAACGCATTTTTTATTAGTAGAAATTCAGAAGATCGATTGCTTGTAAATAAAACTGCAAATTATGAAGGATAAGGCAGTTAAATGGTGGTGCTGAACATGCATGGAAACTGCAATTTTAGCTCCACCCATCTTCTTCTTCTCTCTCCATCTCTACCCTTTACCTCTGTTATTCCAGCCTCTTTATGGACACCATGTGGCAGTAAGCGCCATGAGAGTGAGCTCAGATCTTCTTCCCTCAAAACCCACTTCCCCAAAAGCTTTGTGAGTTGTTGTATGAGGAAGAAGAAGAAGAAACTGCATTGGATTGTCAAGGCAAACCCTAGAGAAACCCCTTATGATGTATTGGGTGTTTCCCCTTCTGCAACTCCACAAGAAATCAAGAAAGCTTATCGAAAACTTGCGCTCAAGTACCATCCTGATGTGAATAAAGAGGTAACCATTTGCCATATTCCCCTAATATGTTCTATAATTCTCTCAATTTAAATTATGAGTTCAGAAGTATTTTTCCTTTTTGCCTTCCGGTTACTAGTTGAGCAATATTGATGGGTTTTCTAATTGAACCTTTGAATTTTTTATTTCCATTTTAAGATTCCTTTTTTAACAGCTGAAAATGTGGTCAATCTGTTGTTTTGGGTATTATTGGAGGGCTGAGATGACTAACGGCTTTTAAAATTAGCTTTTACATAATGGGGATTAAATTCTTGTGATACCGATTAATCTTTTTAATCCCAATTTGAGAAAAAAAGTAAAAAACAAAACTAGTATTCCTGGTTGAATATGACAACTCGAGTCATTGAATTCAATTTTTTTTTGAGAATTGGTCAAATTTGAATAGTTTAAGAAGTTCTTCTGAATGTTACTCTGCATTATGGTATGTATATTATGAAACTTGGAGATAGTGTCAATTTGTATTAATTTTATATGCTTTTCCTGGACAGCTTGTTTTTCTTCCTAGACAATTAATGGAATTTGATGGGAAACATCAGAGCATAAGATGGCTGATTCTTGTATCAATATTCCTCAATGGATTGGTGCTTTTTGAGGGAGGGACTACTAAGTACTCACGCTGCTTTACTAGACCTTGGTTCTTGTCAGGAAGTTAAGCTATAGGATTCGGACTTGGAACGTCGTTTTGCAATCGTCAACACCTTAAACAGACAAGCCCAAGCCTGATTTCTTTATTAGATTTTGATTACTTATTAGGATGTTGAATTTTGACAAGTACTGTGTACAACTATAATGAATTGAGAAATGTAGAGAATTGAGGATTTTGAGAAATGGTTTTTTGTACTAAATTCAATTGGAAAATGTAGAGATTTGGAATTCATCTTTAATGATGTAAGCATGAGCACTTGATCACTCAGTCAAATCCATTAGAGATCCGTCTGGTTTTCTGGTGTTACTTATTGCACTGACCAACAAAGTTGAAGGGTAAGTTCTATAGGACAGTTGTGAGACTAGCTTTGCTCTATGGGGCAGAATGTTGGGCAGACAAAAAATAGTATACCCATAGAATGAGTGTAGCAGAGATGAGGATGTTGAGATGGATGAGTGGCAAGACAAGAAGAGATAGAATTCGAAATGAATCCATTCGGGAAAATTTAGGTGTGACACCAATCAGCAATAAGATGAGAGAGAATAGACTTCGGTGGGCTGGGCATGTGTGGTGCCGACCCAGTACAACACTTGTAGGAGGTGTGAGTTAGTTCAACTGGAAGGATTGCAAAGGGCAAGGGGTAAAAACGACATGTTTAGAAGTAATCAGAAAAGATATGGGGTCTTATGGCCTCACTAAGGGTATGGCATTTAATAGAGCAGGGGACGAATTAAGATTAGTGTAGCCGACCCCAAATAATTAGGAAAAAGGCTATGATGAGGATGATGACTTATTGCGCTGATAAGGCAGTTAAAGATGCACACAAATGCTAAATACGGTATTGTAAGGCATGGGACAACACTATGATTTCTAATTCTTCTTTTTTATAAGGTATTATATCCATTTATCATTTTTTTTGGATCCTCCATGTCAATAGAAGGACCATCTGCTTTTACCTTTATTGCGAATATTGAAATTCATTGCTACAAATATGAATGTCATAAGGTCTTCTTGGCTGGCTGGATCACCTGCGGTGTTAGTATATTACTGAAGTTATTAGCCCGTCTACTCCAAACCTTCTTTAGTCTGGCCTTTTGAAGACTCCAAATGCTTCTTGCCTTTAGAGAAGGCGTGACACTATCCAAAGCGACTATTTTCCAGCAATTTTCCTTTTGTATGTAATTTACCATTTTTTGTCGACATGCTTCTATTAGGGTCCTAAACCTAAAAAACCCTCGAGGATTTCCATTTTGAGGAATTTTTTCTTATGAATTACATTCCAAATTTATCTAATAGGGGAAACTGTTGGGGTTTTGTTTAAGTGTGGTTTATTAGGTTATAATCATAGAATTTGAGTAGTTTCGGACATTGCTTTGTCCTACTTCATTCTTCCTCCTCTCTCATATATGTGCCAGAAGCAGTAGTCAATAGCAGATCCACATGCATGAAAAATGTGAAGCAAGTACAGGTTCTGATAAGCATTTGATTGAAATTGTAAGACATTAAACATGTTTTCTTTTTTCCTACTTGACATTTTCTCGGAGATGGTTCACTGTCTTATGATAAGACCTGGATTTCACAGTTAGATCGTTTTCTTCATTTTTTTTGGCATTTTGTTTTGAATCTCCTGTTATTTTAGTCACAAGATATGCATAATTTTCATTGTTCATTTCCGTAAAGAGGACTGATCTCACAATGAAAAGGTCAGAAAAGGCTTTATATTTTCTTCCAACTTCTACACACCCAAGACTTGAAGTCCATAAATAAGGGTCACTTGTTTTCACTTTTCCCATATCTGATGGCTTCCATCTCTTTTTCAAATTTTCTTTGAATTTAGTGTTATTTGAAAGATTAATTTTCATTAATCAGTATGAATTTTGAAATTCTGGATGAAGAGTTCTGGTCTCTATTTCTGTTTAGATGTGAAAGGCACCACCTAGCTGCAGGTTATGCTTTAGGAAACCAGTTAACCTGTATTCTTACTTTGAGGGGATTCACTTGTCTTCCCATTTCTTATGTCTTGTTCTTTCCAAAATCTTAGCTTAGTTTCTGAGCTTTAGGAGCAGCTATGAATGCATTTTCCATAGGCTGCTACTCCTCTTACCATCTTTGATTGTGCTTTCTTTTCTTTACTTTTTTTATTCCCTTATTTATTGGTGTTCTTGAACGATTTGAGTAGTTAGATCCTACCTTGAGTTCCACGCAAGAATCGGTCTCTATTTAGTGAAGCAAGACATTATTTTCATTCTTGGAACTTTTTGGGTGCATGCCAACTTAGTACTTTACCATCATCCTTGAGAAGCAATTCCTTGTTGATATTTTGTCGCTGTTTGATGTTCCTAAGGAATATCCTTATTCAATGCTGTGAAGGCATTATTTTTGTTTTGAAGTCTGATCCTGGAAAAAAAAAGTACAGGTTACTTAGTTAGAAATCTTTGTGTTAGCTTAACTTTACATTTCACATAAATATCATTGGGGGTTAATGTTTTAGCGTACACTGAAATTCACAACTCCATGCATGGTATCTTGTGACTGATACATAAATTTCAAACTATTTTACTTCATGATTAAGCTCTTTGATTATGTTTTACTTCTAATCTTTGTCTTCCATTTACTAGGCGAATGCCAAAGAAAAGTTCATGCGAATCAAGCATGCATATAATACCTTGTTAGATTCGGAATCTCGTCTCAAGTATGGTTTTGGAAATGGGAATTCAGATTATTCAAATTGGAGAAGTGGAAGGAAAAGAACTACTCAAGATGAGGAAGAGTTTTATGGATTTGGTTTGACTCCATATCCCTCCAAAACCTTATATATGTACATGAAAAAGGTTTGAAATGCCCATTCCTTTTTGTCAAAAGCTAAATTCATATAGTTTTGACAAATGGCTGATGCATACATGTCGATATTTAGTCAGACTAGTACTGATGTTCTTGCATTTGTGTGTGTGTGTGTTGGGGTGGTGGTGTGTGGATGTGTGCATGCACTCGTGTGTGTGTGTAGTTGGGGGGGTGGTGTGTGGATGTCTGCATGCACTCGTGTGTGTGTGTGTGGGTGTGTGCGTGCATTCGTGTGTGTGTGTGTGCACTCGTGTGTGCGTGTGCATGTGCAGGTGCGTGTGCGTGTGCGTGTGTATGTGCGTGTGCATGTGTGTGTGCGTGTGCTTGTGTGTATTCTCGCATGCTTGAGTGCGTGTGCGTGTGCATGCTCGTGCATGTGTGTGTGCGTGTGCCTGTGTGTGTTCTCGCATGCTTGAGTGCGTGTGTGTGCTCATGCGTGGCTTTGTGGGAAAGAGACATCTTTTCTTAAGGTTTATATCAGAATGTTTAACCTTCATCAAGGTGAAATGAACATAAGAAAAAATGGTGCTCAGATACAAATTGGACAGCCATTTTCACAAAACTACTATTGAAGTCATTGAGCATCAGCCATTTTCATAAAACTACAATTAAAGTGATTGAGCGTCAAGGCGGGCATTTCAACCATGATTATTTTGCTATATATTCTCTCTTTCCATTTCATATATTATAACTTGGTAACACCGTTTCTGAAGTTCTAGTCGGAAGGCATATGAACCTACCCTAACTATATCCTGTAAACCTTCAGAGATAAAATGCAACCACACTCATTGAGGAGTATGTTAGTCATGATAGAAAATATAAGTTCTCATAAAGTGTATTTGCTGCAGGTAATTTTTTGAGAGATGTACAAATAACGATAGGTAGATATGTTATTTGAGTGGCGAAAAATCCATGGCAATTGAAATTGCATTTCTGTGTTTGCAAATTGTGATTAATGTGCCTTAGAATAATATGAAATTTATTTATTGATATTACAGAGGACTTCCTCCGGGACCTGCAAGGGGAGTTCAACAATTGGGAAGCAAGTGTTTATTCACAAGCAAAGCCAAAGAGTTTGTGGGAAGAATTAGCGGTTAGTATGATAATCTAGCACAGAAAGTTCCAAATTTCTTACTTGTAAATAATTCATCTAACTATTTGTTGTCATTTGTACATTCTTTAGTGCTGCTTGCATTTTTCTCTGCTTTGTTTAGCATAATGGTGATGATGCTATTGCTTTTGTCGCTGCAATGGTATTTGCTAACTACATATTTACTTTCTGGTACTATTGTTTTTCTCTGTTGTGCAATTGGTTGTGGATCTTGCTGCTTCTTCTTCTTTTATATTTGTGAAACTACCTACAATTGGTAATCTTCCATTGCTCTTTTTAAATGATGTATTGATTTACCAATATGTTGTCCTGTGATGTGCCTTTTCATCGCGACATTTGCTTGTGGCTTTGAAGATTTCTACTCTAGCAAGTTTATTCTACTCTAGTAGGGTTTCTTTTGGTAGTGTTACATCTGCTTAATATCACTGTTTTCAATTGAGAAATGTCTTTCTCTGTCCCCAAATTTACATGATACTGGAGTGAGATAACTACCCCAAATTGACGTGATACTGGAGTGAGATAACTATGGCTTCTGACAAATCCTTATAAACCCCATGTTGGTTGTTTGACCCTATAAGTGGATCTGTGTAACCGCCTCAGTATGCATTTCAGCTTTCCCCTTTAGGTGAATCTCTCTCTCTTCTCTCTCACTCACACACACACACACACACACACACACACACACATATTCTCAGTTGACCAGTAGTTGTGGGGAAATCACCTCTTAGTATGGATTCCAGCTATCCAATGCATAACAAAAGTCCATTTGCTGCCATCAAGGCTTAAATCATGTCTGAGCTATTGGGGCCCTGGAATGCAAACATCTGTAGAAAACACAATTGAAGCATTATGATCAATTTCTGGGACACCAAACTCTCACAGTTCTCTCTCAGTTTTCTGTTTTCTTTTTAGTCAATGTAATACAGAAAATCACATTCACAAGGATGCTTCAAAGTTATTCAGGTACATTAAATATTACTTCACATAGTCCTACTTTGAAAAGGTGTTAATAGTTTATTTTATCCAAGTAGAGATAGTTCTTACTGGGGTAGATTTAGCCAGTTCATTTAGTTAGACATATTGCTTGAAAGTCCTTGATTTATGGTCCACAGGAGATCGGTGAAGAGTTTGTGGAGTTTCTAGAGAAAGAACTCAACATTACAGATGAGAATATCAACGCTGGGAATCCAGATAGGGATGATGAGGTGAAATCGAATGAGAAACCAGGTTCACAAACAAAGGAAGATGCACAGAACCAGGCTAGAAGGGAGACCAGTGTAGAAGATAGCATTGATGAGATTGAGGCTACTCTGAGACAGCTGAAAAAGGAGCTTGGGCTATAGGAAATGGTGGCCTGGATCGAACGATATGATTTATCTTTCCCCGGTTAAGATTCATGTAAATTCAGTTCCTTTTGGACTTTGTTTGGGAGAGAGATAGGTTAAGGAAGATAATGGCTTAGTTGGCAGCTTTCAATTGCATTCCATACAATACGGAAAGGGGTCGGGCCCTCCTTCCAAATAGAATACAAAACGCTGCTTATTTCGGTGTTTTCCATGACTGCACCAATGGGAAAGGGTGTGGGTGAAAAGTGTGGCGTTGGCCACTAACACTTTGTAACCTGTGTGGTGAAAAAATGGATTCTAAGCCCTTCCAAAATGAAGCATTAATCAAGCTTGAAAATTGAGGCAATGAATAATGCAATCTGACCATTGCTAGTGCAGGCTTTTTGTGGATTATTCATATAGGAAGCTGAAAGGATTGCACGAGATGCAGCCAGGGTTCTTTCAAGGATCATTATTCTTGTTCTATTACAGATTGGCTCAGCTATGTCTGTATTAACTTTTTTACTATGTTACTATTGTTTATCCTCATTTTACCCCTGATGATAATGGTATCCTTCTAAAGTAGAAACCTTGAGTAGTTGTGACCACTTCAGCATATTCTTTGTAATATTCATGAGATTTTCTACATTTCAAAGAAAAAATGATTTACTAATAGTCCCAAGAATTTAGATGTCCTTTCTTGTCGTCAAATAGATTGAATAGAAGAAAAGATGGGAAAGGCACATTGATTCAATTTACATATCTTCGTTACTTCAGTTTTTTTTTTTTGAGTGTGTCCCCTCAACAACAGTGGCGGAGCCACACTGAAATTACTTCAGTTTTATATCTATTGCCCCATGTAACTATTATCTCTCAATATGGGTGGCAACGGGCCGGGCCTGGGGCCGAGCCAGGTCAAAAATAAATGCAGAAAAATAAAAAAAAGAAGCAAGAAAAAAGCATGGCCGGGCCAGGCCAAACTAAGCCGGCACTAGCCCTAGCCTCGCCCTTGGCCGCAGTTTGTGGCCTAGGCCCTACTTTTTAGGGCCGAGCCGTCCCACCCATTGCCAGCCCTATCTACCAAGTTGTAGGCTTGGTTAGGGCGGGTATTGAAAATATTAGTCTCATACTATATTTTCTCAAGGATTCTTGACAAAGATCAAAATGTTTGTGAAAATTTTGTTTGGTAAATATAATTACTTGGGCGTTTTGAGGTTGAGCTTTTCTCCTTTGATGTTGAATACTTGTTTCATGGGAAATTTATCAGATTATACTTAAAAGTTGAATTATTTAACATTTCAGCTATTATGGTAATTTGATAAATTTCAGAACCCTGTGTCATTTGATGTGCTATTTGAAATTTGATCAAACGAATTGGTAAGATGTTAAGTAGTTCAAATCGTAGGTGTAATTTGATAGATTGTCCTTTCTAGAATTTGGGTTTCTGGAGGTTTTGTCATGTGTTACATTGGTTATGCAAGAGTTCTCTTTTAACATGAAAATAAGGATTGTACTTTATGATGGCAACAATTTTTGTTTTCTATGGAAAAGTAAATAACAAGACTATTTATCCTTGATGTCCTCCATCATTTTTGGCTAGAAATTGGCGAACTAAGGATGTGCATTGATTAGGCTGTTCTCAAACTTTGTGGTACACTTTAAGCTTTCATAGTTAATGGTTGGAAATAATTGTGACTTCTTTCTAATAAAAATAAATGATATTATAGTGTGCAATCCTCAATAAATTGAAACTTTGTAATTACCGAATCCACATATGGACAAAAGCTCTGGTGGACACGCATACTAATAAATAGGAAAGCTTTATATTAGATTTATTTAATTCAAAGTGTATTTGTTTAATCCTATATTTTGTACACATCCTCAATGATGACGAACACCCTTGTAGAATAAATAGGGAAAAAAAAGAAGAATAAGTGTTATTATGGTATTTTCACTCATAGAGTATTTTTTTAATGCACTTTATTTTTTGAGATATTTTTTACCTTTATCCTATTATATAGTAATTTTTTCTCTATAGGTATTTTAAATAATTAATCAATGATAAATTAGATAAAAAAATCATTTATTAACAAAAAATAACATCATCTATATGAGGTAAAACATCACCCATATAAAGCATTAATTGCCACAAGCACCTCCAATTAACACCTTTAAAATGTAACTCCTTAATTTATTGAAAAAATGAGTAGAGGCATGTTTTTCCTATTGAATTACCAAAAAAAGAGAGTAATTAATCAAATATAAAATACAAATTTTTAATAGAAAAAAAATTATTTAATAGCTATAGTAGATAATAACATCATCCACATCAGATATGACATCACCTATATAGAATATTAACTGCTCTTGAATACTAATAGAATGCATTATTTTCTTATAGAAATAGAAATATCTATTCTACCTCCTAATTACAAAAAATACCTTCACTCGAAAATTTTGTATTACAAAACAATGATGAAAAATATCCAAAAATATTGAGTATATTAAAAAACATTTCCATGCATAAGAGTACCCTAACAAACCCGTCTTTTAACTGCAGATTGAAAAAATTCCCCCATCTTTTAACTGCAAGAGTAGTAAACTATGCTCCCAAAGGAACATAATATACATGCTCGGTTAATATCTGTTATCATTTACGGTTAATATCTGTTATCATTTCCGGTGGATATCAGATCCACATTTAGATGCGTTCGATTTTTCAGTTTTTTCTTTTGTAAGTTGTTCATGCAGTGAATTTAGTACCATCGCCAGATTTTGAGGTAAAAAATTAAATAGAAAAAATGTGTGAAATGGATTACGTAAATTTTGAAGTGACCCATCCAAATCGACAATCCAAATCAGGAACAATCGGCTTTCAAAACACTAGAAAATAGCTTAGAAGAAAAAACGAGAGAAAAAGGGGAAGACGAAAAAAATGTGATAGACCCTCACCTCAAAAACAAATATCCTCATAAAAGTTGCATAGCTCGCCGATTCCCTCGCCGATTCCCCATCCAAATCGGCAATCAGGAATTACCGGCTTTCAAAACACTAGAAAATACCCTAGAAGAAAAGAAAAAAGAATGTTATAGACCCTCATCTCAAAAACAAATATCCTCTTAGAAGTGGCATACCTCATCCTTAAATTTTCAAAGCCCAGTAGTTTCATGCCAAAAGCATACTCTCTCTCTCTCTCTCTCTCTCTCTCTCATAGTAACACAACTATACTAGAGAACGAGATTTGTTGCTGCAAATTCCTGCTTGAAGAGCTACTCGAGAGAGTGAGAGAGCCAAAGTGTGGAGTACTCAAGGCTTCCATAATGTCAGTTATGGGCTCAAATCCTATAAATATCCTCACTCGTTTTGCCGTCCAAAATGGAATTTGGGTATCATAAGAATTGAAGATACCCCACGAATAACTCAACACAATAGGACAGCTCCTTCCTCATCCGCAGCATCAAGACTCGAGAAAAAAGAAAACCTAACAACCAAAAACATAAATTCAAGGTGAAAAATAATTTACGGAACAAAACCCCAACTGATGAAACCTATGTCCTTAGAATCTCTCTCCGAATCTGAAGAAAATCGCGCCTGTGCCTGAATTATGGTCAACAGCATACTCAGCTCTCACAAGACCCAACTTTACACCTGCTCCATAAGATGATCCACTCCCTGCTCTCCTGAAAAACTCAGTTGGGTTCCCTTTAACTTCTTTGGAGCTCCCCAAATCGTTTCCATGCTCTGCAAACGCATACACGTGTGTGTTCCTTATGGGTATACGCAACTCTGCTGCAAGCTGTAACAGCAAAAATATCAATACATTAGCATACTATGTGGATCAATTTTTTGGGAATGCATGCTCAAATTATTGTCCTATTTGGATCAATTTTTTGGGTATGAAAGCACAAATTGGTGTTCTTTCAGAAGTGTTTAGCTCGTCATTGTGTAGGTAAAATCGAATTAGTGCATTTTTATGGAAGTTCTCTAGATCTTGTTTTAGTGTATTTTAAGCTGGGGTGAAACGTTCCTTTTTTGTGGGAGAAAGCAAATCAGAAACCGTATAATTTATGGGTTACCATATTTTTTATCCAAATCTTTTAGCCTGACATTAAATGGGTAGAATTTCTATCAACAATGGCCAATTTTAGCTGTAAATTCATACCAAAATTCAGCACAAATTACATTCATGAAACATTCCCTGGGAATCAAAAAAATCCTGGATCAATAGTCGATGACACCTAAACTATTAAGTGAAACCACTATGGCTTGTTTGGTTAGGTGACTGCTCAATGACTATGCGATTGGAATGGAGGGTTGACACAACCAACTCCAAAACTCAATCCAAACATTGCTAAAGCATATTAAAACGAAAGAACATAAACACAGAACTAGAACGGTTTGTCAATCATTACCTCAAGAATGTTACGGCAAGCTCCCAGTTCACCCATGTTGTAACCTCTCACCGAATAGGGGCCACCTAAGGTGAAAGCATCATAACTTGGAAGATCTCCCACGCAGCCACCATAGTGACCATGGAGGACCAGGACAGGAGGTGGCGGCTTTCCTGCCCCTTCTTGCACGGACTTCAACTGAATGAAGCGGGTCATAGATAATTGGTGGCGATTGAAAAATGGGAAATTAGTGCCAATCCCAAGACCTTGGTCTAACTGCAAAAATACTTGCAGGAACAAATTAGTATATGAAATTTCAAAACTGCAGTCATGAACTGAACAAATTTCTATTACATTGTAGGGTTTAAAGCCGGAAACATACAAAATGGTAAAGTATACTGAATATAGTCCAATGGACAATGGAAGAATGAAATTCATAGGGTCATGATTTTCCCATGAAATTACAACAGTGATGACTGATGAGAAAAAGATGGACCTGCCATAATGGGCAAAGGCCCCCAATGGTGGGTCCCACTTTTATCGTCATCAATCTATTCATCAGAACACGGTCCAAATGGACTAAGGTTTTCTCTCTTTAGACAACAGAATACTTCAAATCATAATTCTACTGCAAGTAATTATTCCCAAAAGCCCATTACATCTTAGATTCAAAACCAAAAATTTGCAGCAACCTCAAAAGAGTATTTTTCTTATTGTTGGGCTAAAACAAAATTAGAGAAGATCATATTTACCTGAAATACATTCCTCTCGCCAACTATTGCTCCATTCACAAATTTGGTATTGTCACGTGTGATGTTCGCTTGCACAAAGGCCATACGATCAACGCCCGTGCCACTCAATGTTGTTGGGGGTCCATCCATGCTCAACCCACCACTTGGCAAAGCACGGGCACCATTAGTGCAGATGCTACTTGTTTCATCACGTGTTGTGATTTCTTCCAGGACAAGCCCATATGTGAACTTGCTCTGTCGAGTGAAATTCTGAAATTTAAATGAGAATCAATTAGTGACAATTGGAAAGTAGCCAACACACATGGAGGTCCCTCTCTCCCCTCTCTCTCTCTTTCTCTCTCGCCCTCACTCCCTCACACACACACAATCTCATTCTGACTCACACACACACATGGAGCTCTCTCTCTCGGCGCACCCCCCCAGGGGGCCCCAACAACAGAGCAAAGTCTTTTTCTCCCTACAGAAAGATGGTCTCTCTCTCTCTCTATATCTTTCCCTCCAAAAACTCTCTCTGTGTCCCCATTTCTTACCATCTTTTTATTTTCTTCTTTTTTTTTGTTTCTTTTTTTTTTCTTTACTTTGTTTTCAGTACAAGCAAATTATGTGCCTAGGAATTACCTAGTCTTCTCGAGTTCTTAGTTCCATTGTTGGAGGAGAGAACACTTCCTTCTTTCTTCATTTGATCAAAGAAGGAAATAATATATTTGAAATCCCAGACCTAAATTTTACAAGTTTGAACCAGCAGTCCCCTACAGAGGTAAAGTTTTAACATCTAATAGGAATGACACTGGTGGCTAACCTCCATAATGTTCGCTTTGAAGCCACTTCGATCAACCCAGATAGGAGGAACTTCTTCCATGCCAGGCCCACCTGTAAAAACTGGACTCAGTTTGCGACTGTTGAAGACGCTTGCACGAAATGTTCGGTTCCTAGGATTGTAGACTCCATCTACATAAGGATGCACATATTCGAACTTGAAGGAAAGATCATCCTAACAGCAAAACCAAGTTAAATAAGAAAATAAAGATACTCTGAAGCCAAGCAAAACTCGATGTAAATAAATTCCAGAAGTATTACAAGTAAATCCTCATCTATAGCTTTGCTGAAGAATTAAGTTCCTGACTGAAATGAGGGAAAAAGAGTATGGTGCACACCATAATCCAGACAATTATATACAAGTTCTCGAAGGGTATTGAAATGGAACACACTAACTTACTAAATTTCTGAAAGGCAATCATTGCCGAAATAAAAGATTCTAGTTCCAGATCCTATTTTGTCAAATGAAGAAGCATGATGAAATGCCCCACCATGACACTAACAAAACCTGGCACATGCTGCCTTCAAGAACATGCAACACATTGCAAATTCAACATTATACAATATAATTTTGCACAATCCTTTTGCAATTTTATAACTAATCAAATGGTAGGCTCTGCAGCACAAGGAATTTTGGAAATTTCTCAAATATTCACATAAAAAATAGTGAACAAATGATTTGCAACATGTTCCCCCCCTCCCGCAAAAAAAAAAAAAAAGAAAACAAAAAAATAAAGAACAACATATTGGCCACACATGGTTTGTCATTTTCTTTAAATTTAGAATTCACGAATAATGAAGGGAAGTCAAGTTAAAATTTAGGAATTTCAGTTGCACCAGCACTATGTATCTCAGTAGAACCCATAATAATGATGTCAATAAGATCCCAAGGTATATATATATAGGGAAAGCTTTCTGTGTGACCCCAACAAGATATAAGTCATATGTAACCACTTCTTAGGCGTTTGATCTCAATCGATGGCTAGAAATGTTCATGCCACAATGTCACACCAAACTTCATTTTATCTTTCATTTTATCTCTACAAAACATTTTTGGATGAAATTTTGGGCATCCCATCATAAAATTAGGGTGAACCTGGAAAAAAAAAAAAATTTCCCATAAAAATAAATGACCACAATGCCCCTGATATTTTTGGGGGTATTCTGGTAATTTATTATTAGAAATATTTTTATTTTTATTTTTATTTTTATCATGTGCGCCCCTATCAGATATGCCCGAAATTTGGTTTCAAAATAACTTATAGAATAAAAATAAAACATTATGAGCTGCTACATTAGATCTTGACAGGATCTGACAAAGAGCCAGCTTGTGACATTGTGATGCAAGCCATATACTTAGATTTGACGGCTGAGATCAAGGGTATATATATATATATATATATATATATATATATAGGAATATACTACAAAACGGCTATAGGAAAAAATGAGCAGCGATTTCGCCTACCCTCATCACCATCCAAACTTCATCACACGGTCATAGTTGTCCGGTAGTGTTTCAATTTTCATTTTTTGTTTTTTTACTAATCGGAATGATCTGAAATTTGGAACGTGTGTACATCTTAGTGTTTTTAATTTGTCTAGAGTTCACAACCCCTCAAAATACAAAGATAGGTGTGGTGGGCCCTATCACCCAATTATTGTTTTTAATAATTTTATTTCTTTTTTTTATCATGTAATTTAATGCCGGGTGCACGCCCCCCCTCTTATTGACAAGAAAAATAAGAAGACGGTGCTACCCAGGTAACTTTTATTTATTCGTCAAGGTAACTTTTATGTTTTTGTCATAACTTTTGTTTTTTTTGCCATGGTTACTTTTATTTTTTTGTCAAGATAACTTTAATTTTTTTTTGACAAAAAATTATTTTTTTGTTAAGATAACTTTTATTTTTTTGTCATAACTTATATTTTTTTGTCATGATAACTTTTATTTTTTTGTCATAACTTTTATTTTGTTGTCAAGATAACTTTTATTTTTTTTTTTGGACAAAAAATAAAAAGTTGGTGATGCTTAGGGTTCAAACTAGGAACCTCTTTAGAGGGAGACAGACGTGATAACCGACTAAACCACAACCCCACTTGTTGTCTTATCTTTTATAATAAAAAGATAAATTGTATTACCTTTTCAAGCCCAAGTACCATGCTCAAATCCCATATTGAAAAAACAAAAGAAGTTTGAGGTCCATAAAACCCTCCTCGATACCATGATTTATCGCGTGTGCAAAAAGCACGATCAAGCATGAGGCTGATAGAGGCACACGTGGCAACACGGCCGCGTCATAATCCGTCATCGTCCGACTCGCCCGTTCTGTGGCGTCATAATTTGTTTCGTGACGTCAAAATCGCCTGATTCGCCCGGTTCCTTTCTAAACACGGGCAGTTTCCTGTTTTGAGTTAGAATCGACACGAGGCGACCGATTCCTGTGTCGAATCGCCTGAGTCCGTGCTGACTCGACAATTTTTAAACCACTATATATATATATATATATATATAAACAGTTGCTAAAAACACTGATATGCTATAACCCATGGTTGGCATTAAGCAGACCTAAAAGTGCACATAATAACTAAAAAATGAGTTTACGGAGAAACAATTTAGATCACAGTAATTCTACCTGAGGGTTAAGCAGGTTGTTGGAAGTCACAGATCCAAGTAAAGATCTGTTCAACCCTTTTATGTTTCGATGCTCAAATGAGACAGTTCCACCTGGTTGAATTGAAGCCTGAAAAAGGAGTATCAGATTGTGAAACCCATATTAAAAATACCAACTAACAAAAAAAATAAATCCAGAACTCTGAAATATCCACCCAACAAGAAAATTCTATGTACACTAATCTCATGGCTTTTCACAACTACCTCCCAAATCTGATAGCAAAGCAATAAATCAACATCAGAGAAATTGTCAGCTCCACTTATGGTTAGCATAGAGTAAACAAAAGTTAGGCTTACCAAGGTCGGACGTCCTTGACGACCAGGCACAATACTCCATTCTGTGCTAACTTCAGCAGTTTTCTGTTCAAGTTCTTTGAGCTTTATCTCAACAATAATCCCACCCTCATTCTTCTCATCAGGTCGAGGGTTTACCTCAATATTGGAAAAAAGGGCCAAAGAGTTTATGTTCCTAAGAGCTTGTTTCCCAGCCTCTATGTTGAAGACATGTCCTTGTCGAAGCTGAGCAGATCAACCACTAGAATTTTAAAAAAAAGTGGTTCTATGCTAGATATTAATAAAAATAGAGAGTATATTGAATTGATCTAAGAAGAAGATGATCCACACCCAAAAGCTGTTTTCTTAAAACATCTTCAGTGCAGTGCAAAAGGAGAATATGATCCACCTAATAGTTTAAACGCATAAGCGGCTCAACTGGGTACAATAAAAGTAGATCATAAATTATGTGGTAGGTACGCAGTCTATTAAAGATTTGAGTGACAGACTCCCATGACAAGGTTTTTCTCGGACAAAAACTAATGAACAACTACACAAGAATATTGATGGCAACTACCATTTGAGCTGGTTTATCTAAAAACAAAGAATTTGAACATATAGTTCAACATAAATTACTGTAGCACACAAAGATTTATAATTTCACCAAGTGTCTATCATCAAAGATGTAGAAATTCCAACATGAGAATTATTAATGCATTATTTTCTCTATGAGCAATAAATTGCCATTCACCAATAAGGTGCGAATAAACCAGTAAAGGGCGACAGAGTTGCAAAATGTACGGGAATGGAAACATAAAAAGAGAAAAGCTTATGCAAAGTTATAAAATCCAATGTTTCACATATGATATTCCAAAGAGAATCAGATCTTAGTTTCTAGTTTCTACAGTCATGAGGTTCTTTCTAGCACCTAATTTTCAACCTACATATAGCCAACTGTGTTTATTAACAAACACTTAGATCCCAAGCTAACGTACCCTGATTTTCCAAATATGACACTGTAACAAAAGTCAGGCATTGCAAACCATATAATCAAAGAGCATCCAATTAGAAATGTCACAATTTGGGAGTTCTAGTCCATATCCACTGTGTGTATTATTGCTTTTTTTATTTTTGAGAGAGAGAGAGAGAGAGAGAGAGAGAGAGAGAGAGAGAGAGAGAGAGAGAGAGAGACGACGTACGTACGTACGTACGTACGTACGTACGTACTACGTACGTACGTACGTACGTACGTACGTACGTTACCGTACCTACTACGTACGTACGTACGTTACGTTA